GAGATAAAAGAAAGAAAAAAAACATCTGTGAGCATACTGATAACAGGATCATAGCAACTATTGTATTAACATTAATATAATTTAGGATAAGTGGTAAAGATAACCCTTGGTTTAAAGATACTGTTTCTACTTTTATCAAACAGAGGAATGCTGCTTGGGCTAAGGCAAAGAAATCAAACAATTCTTTAGATTGGATTTCCTACAGAGCTTTACGAAATAAATGCACAAAATTAATCAAAAGTGCAAAACGTGATTATTATCTGTCTACAATAAATCAAAATTTAAATAATCCTACAAAGTTTTGGAAATTAGTCAAGTCTCCACGTTTACTCCATAAACCCAAATTATTGCACTTATTACAAAAGCAGACTTATCTATAAAATACTATTTTTACCATGTCACACTTAACAAGAGAATGAACACTTTATCACCTAACTTAACCCATGTCATGTAATATATTAGAAAAATGAGTGAGGTATGAGAAAGTAGCATTTCTTGTATTTTATTATACACAAATATAAACTAAAATGTGCAAAAACACAATATACAATAGAAGATAGAGAAACAAGCCCAACTTGTAGTTTTTTTTTTTTATTGCAACCGTTGAAGTGTTGCAACTGTTGACGAAACAGCACACCAAGACATTATATTTTACAGTGTCCATCAGTGTGCCATTTTCTAAAACAGTTTCTTGATGGCACCAAGCACAATGGTACATTGCACTTCGTACAGTACATAGGAGTCTTTACTTTAAGCCCTGAAAGTTTGCACAAAGCACAAACTCTCCTCCCACTTGCGGCATCTGACCCAAAGTACTCCGGCCAACATTGCTCACCTGCTGATGTGGCAGATGTAGATGGCTCTGGGGCATGTGATGTGGATGCGGGCGGCTCTGGGGCATGCGATGAGGAAGCGGGCGGCTCTGGGGCATGCGATGTGGATGCGGGCGGCTCTGGGGCATGCGATGAGGAAGCGGGCGGCTCTGGAGCATGCGATGTGGATGCGGGCAGCTCTGGGGCATCTGAAGTGCTGGACTGTGTGGCCAGCTCAGACACAAGTCTCTCTCTAAACTCCTTCTGGCTGAGAGGACTTTTGTTCTGAGATTTGCAGAGGTGCTGGTAAAGAATAAAACTGTTTACCACCGCAATGTCAACAAAATGAAAAAAAAAAAGTCTTGTACCATTTCGTCGTTTTGTGCAGGACATTATAGTACCCAATGAGGGCATCTGACAGGTCCACACCTCCCATATGTTTGTTGTAGTCCTTCACTGCCGCTGGAATCGGGACTCTGTGCCTTTCCCATACACCTTCGGGATTCTTGACACGCCTGAGGACCTCATCACCGTCATATGCCTTGTGCATTGTAGAACACATTGTCACCTCTCGCGTGTCCATCCACTTTACAAACAGAAGCTTCCCGTCTCGGAGCCATCGAATGGTTCCCCTTTGGTCTCTGCGGCTGATGTCATTTACCTTGGTTTTGGGGAAGCCCCGCCGGTTGGTGCGTATAGTGCCACACGCTAGAGTCTTCTTTGAGAGCAAGTCCATCAAAAGGCATGGGCTCGTGTAGAAATTGTCCATAAAAAGCTGGTAGCCTTTGCCGAGAAGTGACAGATCCAGGAGCTGCATGACAGAATCATAACTGAGCCCTTTTCCAGTGGCCGGGGAAGACTTGCCTTCATAGACAAAGAAGTTCCACGTGTAACCACAGGCAGAATCAGCCAGCACGTATAGTTTGTAGCCCCACTTGGTCGGTTTGTCTTTCATGTACTGCTTGATGCCGATTCGCGCCCTTGAAGCCACCATCCTCTCGTCCACTGCTAGCTGTCTGTCTGGATGGAAATACATCTTGCATGCCGAGACGATGTCGTTGTACAGGGGCTTGATCTTGAAAAGTCGGTCGTAGGTTTCAGTCCCCTTTTTTCTAGAGTTGTCTCGATCATCCTCAGGATCGCAAAGATGCAGGTTCCAAGAAATGGCCTGAAATCTGGACCTGGACATGACCGATTTTGGGAAGGGTAAGCGGTAAATTTCTTTACCAGACCAGTAATCAATGATGTTCTTTGCACCGAGGAGCCCCATGTAGATGACAAGTGCCACGTACGAATACAGTTTGTGTGCATCCAAAGGCAACCAAAGGAAACGTTTTCCAGCCTCCGACCTCATTTGTGCAAAGCTGTTGGTATTCATCACAATGGTTTCCACCACAGAGCCTGTGAAGAAGAGCTGGAAGAGCTCCAACGGGGAATAGATCCGGTCCATTACAAGCTGTGCTCCTGGGTTTCTTTTTGGAAGGAAATTTGGTAGCGCTGGAACCTCATCCTCCACACTGCAGTCATTCCACCTTTCTGTGCCACCATCCTCTGACATTGCACTTGCTGACCTTTTCGTCCCCCGTACAGAATGAGCCCTCCCTCTGGTCTGCTTGCTGGGAGTTCCAGCTCTCTGTGGCCGCCTCACAGAATCACCAACAGAGGGTGTGGGGGTCTTGGAGGTGTGAGGTGGGCAAACAACCTCCTTGCTGCTGGTGCATAGCAGATCTGGCTGCCACTCATCACCACTGTCCAGACTGCAAAACAAAACAAATTTATAAATCCACATTGTATTCAGAAATGCATGCTAATATTACACACAAAAATAATTCACATATGCACATAACAGATACAAGATTATAATTTGCATATTCACATAAGATACACAAATACATGTGTGCAAAAATAAAAGGAGCACAACTCATGCATGCACCAATTAAAATATGAATGTGACAGAAACATGTAGAATGCATTTCATGTATAGATAATAAAATGTAAAAAGATATAGATATATGCCATAGTTCAAATAAGCTTGTGAGCATTTGCTTTTTGACACATATTCACACACGCATGCATCAATGCAATTGATGAAAAAATATGTGCATGCATGTAAGTGATGCATGTGCTTTTGGTGCCCACATGTGCTAAACATGTTACATGCAGATTTGTATTTTTCCAGGCATTTATTCATCAGTTTTATTGATACATGACACACCTGCAAGCATCAATACAACTGATGAGCAACACCTGGTAACATTCCATGCAACCATTGGAATTGATTAACACCACGTGCAAAACTACAAATATGAAGAAAGAAAAAAAAACTTTAGCACATGTGTGCACCAAACAGCACAAAAAAACTTAGCAAAAGCTCCCAAGCATATTTGACCTATGGCATGAATATATGCATGGTTATGCTCGTTTATTATTGCATGCATATGTTTTTGGGTGCAAAATAAATCTCAAATATACATGCACAAACATTTACGCGACAAAAAAAAAAACGCACATGCGTTAGCAAAACCACCCATGCTACATTGAATTAGAGCGTGCATGGGTTGTGATATTTATCGATGTCTGTTGCATGGATATTTTGTACAATTGTTGCATGCATTCGTTCATGAAATACACAAATATAACGTTTATAAGTTCGAAATGTGTACTTACTCAAATTCTGGATCTTCACCAGAGTTGTAAGCAGCTTGTCTAACAATGTCAAAACTTGCATTGCTGCAAGTTTCAGTGTCGCTCTCTCGATCAAGCTCCGCCAAAACAGCCTCCACGCCGACTAAAACCTTCCTTGAAGCCATTGTCCAAAGACAAAACACTCCAACCAGTTGTAAAAAGCACGCAATAACTCGAAAAAACACTGTCCAAACCACCAAACTATCCCGAACTCAACTCCTACTCGTCTGCGATGACCACTAGCACCCGCTGACATATCAAGATGAGGTCCCGCCTCCTCCAGTTTGTCATATGATATCTCGGTCCCTGAATGGTCTAGAGGCATGATCGACGTGTCTATGGATTGCTGAGAGTCTCGGCTTTTTCAGAGTTATGCCGTGCTGAAGTGGTTAAGTAAGGCAGATCAATAATATTGTTGAAAATTAAATGTCCCCAACTAAGCAAGCCAAAATCCAAGGCAACAGTGGCAAGGAACCAAAACTCCATCAGGTGACAGAATGGAGAAAAAACCTTGGGAGAACCCAGACTCAGTAGGGGGCCAGTTCTCCTCTGGCCAATGAAGGAACAGTGTATGATTCGGGCAGCATTACAAGTCAGATTGGATCGGAACATTTAGACAGGTCACATGTTTGTGTGACAAGAATTCGCTAAGTTACAGTTCATTTTCTGATGTGTATCAGAATCGACTTCATTGAGAGAGAGATGGCAGATCCCGCATCATGTTTTTTTTTTCTTTATTTTGCAAAAAGCTCAATATTTTGTTTTTATTGTGTGTACAATAAATAAATTTGAATGATGTACAACACTTATCTCTATTACCAAAATCGATGGAGTATTTTGAGTCTCTTTCGCACTGATAAGAAACCAGCCGACCACTTGGGGTTTAACAGATAAACCTCACGCTTTTATTTCATTGTTTTTAATTGAGTTTTTTTCAGTGTTGTTTTTAATTTGATTTTTAACAGTTAGCCTCGTACATTGAGTTTAACAACATAAAGCTAAAGAAGGTAACTTTTATCATTCAACTGAACTGTACACATGTTTAAACACTTGCCTTATGTTCTCTGTTCATGCATTAAATGCATGGTCTTGAAAGAGAGCATGCAGCTTACTAACGTATTTACTTTGACTCCTCAGGTAATGTCAATGGTATGACCCATTTCAGATGTGGCCAAAATTACAACAACAGTGGCTGCATATAAATATATTTTAATTGTTTGATCAAAATTAATGCTAGGGACAATTCAGTAGTCGCCCGATATTGTTAGGGAAATGTTCCTAGCGTGGGGAACATTGTTGCGGTTTACTGATGCTATTCACGTCGTGAAAACCCCCCTCACCCATGACCCATACAGTACGGCTTCTCATTCTATCCAGATGCATACATTTGTCTTTCTAACCTCTTATGTGAAGAGATGCCATTTGATACAAGTCTACTTGAAATTTTACAGAAATTACTCAGATCTTGAAGCTAAATGGCCTTTCTTTGTTCTTCCATTACAGTGAGGAGCTCTGTAAAGAAATGGTGGATGGTTTGAGGATCACATTCGACTTTACCCTTCCATTGATCCTACTGTACCCAAACGAACAAGCTCAGTTCAAAAAAATCAGCTCCTCCAAGTTCTTCCAGCCAATTACTGACAGCGCAGCCTGCACTAGTAGGTAAGAGTTAACTTCATAAAATGTACTTAAGACATAATTTTGTTTTTAAATGACTTAATTTAATTTAGTTCCAAATTTAATGTTTTTTTTATTACTTTTTTATGGTTCACAAATGTTTTATCAAATTAAAGGAAATTAAAATACTATGTTTTTTTTGTTTTTTTTTTAAATAACTTGATGCAACTAAAGTAATGCAAAAATCACTGTACAGCAGTGGTTTTCAATCCTGGTCCTGGGTATCCACTGCTTCGCACAATTTATATGTATTTTATTTAACACCTGATTCAGATCATCAGCTCATTAGGTGAATAGGTGAGAGTTCAATTAACTGTGAAGTGTGTCAGAATAAAAAACATACAAAATGTGCCGAGTGGTGGGTCCCCAGGACCAGGATTGAAAACCAGTGTTGTACAGGATCTTGGATTGAACTCATTTATACTATGATCTGGGGTTGCCATGATTCCAGATTTTCAGTAGTTAATACAAATGTCTTGTCACCTTAGTTATGTCTCACTGTACAGTAAGTCACCTTTATTTATATAGCGCTTTATACAATACAGATTGTTTCAAAGCAGCTTTACAGTGATAACAGTTAAAAATATGCATTTCGGCTGTAAAAATCATCAATTATTAAATTAGTTCATTTTATCTATAAAGCAGTTCTGCAAAAAAAATGTGTCATTCTCCAGCTCAGTTCAGTTCTTATACAACAGCGTTAGTACAGTCAGATCAATAATATTGTTGAATATTTAGTGTCCCCAACTGAGCAAGTCGGAGGCGACAGTGGCAAGGAACCCAAACTCCATCAGGAGAAAATCAATATGGAGAAAAAAACCCTTAGGAGAAACCAGGCTCAGGTGGGGGGCAATTCTCTGGCCAACGAATGAAAACGGTGTCATTATGATTCAGGCTGCATTCACAAGTCAGAATTCAGATTGGGATCGGTAGCATTCAAATATTCATCCAGTTCCTTTTGCTTGAAGAGCGATTCTTCACGCCGGTATGGAGCCGAAGCTGGCCATAGGGTCTGTGCGGAGGACCTGTCTGGTTCTGGTGGTCTCTGCTGAGGATCTGTGCCGATGGCTGTAATTTCGACGAGGTCTTCACAGGGGATCGTCTAGTTGACACGGTCTCTGCTCGCATTCAGGGCTGCGTTTTGGTCATGTCTAGGTGCAGGTCCACCATCTGATCTGGAAACGGACCCGATCCGGCTGACTACGATAACCTTGGGATAAGACAGACAGACTAGTATTAGCGTAGTTGCCATTCTTCTTACAATGTAACAAGTACATTGGGTGTTATAGGAAGTGTTCCCAGTTCCGGTTGACCTAATTTATGCAGTCTAACAATAATTTAACTGATTTGAATAATACAGTAGAATTGATCAGGTGTTATGAGTATGCCAGGTTAAAGAGATGTGTTTTAGTCTAGATTTAAACTGACAGAGTGTGTCTGCTTCCAGAGTTTAGGTGCTAAATAGGAAAAGGATCTACCGCCTGCAGTTGATTTTGATATTCTAGGTATTATTAACTGGCCAGAATTTTGAGATTGCAATACACTTGAAGGACTATTACGCGTCAAGACTTTGCTCAAGTAATGAGGAGGTAAACCATTTTGTGGTTTGTAAGTAATTAGCAAGATTTTAAAATGTATGCGATGTAGGGGTGTAACGGTACATGTATTCGTATTGAACCGTTTCGGTTCGAGGCTTCCGGTTCGGTACGCATACAAACTGAACGATTCCTTGGACCATTTTTCCTGCCGACAAAATTCGCGCTGGCGCGACCACCACAACGTTGCGCAACATCAAATGGCAAGCGTAATGAAAGCGGAACGAAACTGCGCTACTCATTATATTGTGCTTAACGGACCATTTATCAGTTCGGACCAGCAACATCTGTGCAGCGCGAGCCGATCTCGATCAAGCGACACTGTTACAACACAGCGCTAAGATCCAGTAAAGAAAACATTTGAATTCGCCACTGAAGTAATAACATCGCTATCAGTAATAACACAGATCTAGTGAGAAGCATTCACATTTCTCCGTTATTAACCATAAATCTCTATTAGATCAAACAGCGCTGACGTGGACACCAGGAGAAACATTGTGCCGTGAATGAACTAGTAATACTTTACGTCCACAGACCAGCAACATTCACCATGGATTTAATATAGTAACACTAACTGTAACCAGTTTGGCTGGAATAGTGAAATGCTTTCAAGTACTTCACACATCTTTTTCCAGCACTTCAAAACTCAAATATTATATAAATAAATATATGAAGAGTTCAGATGCAAAAGCCTCTAAGTGCCATTTGAAATTTTCTTCTAGAATGATCATTTTTATGAAGCTTGTATATTTAAGTTCAGTAATTTCACTCAAATGACAATTAACAGGTAATCTTCATTGCCATTTAAGTGAAATTACTGAACTTAAATATACAAGCTTGATAAAAATGATCATTCTAGAAGAAAATTTCAAATGGCTTTTGCATCTGAACTCTTCATATATGTAAATGTTATTTTTAATGTGATGACCAAAACATTATTTGTTCATCCTTCAAAGATGACACCCATTTATAAACCTGAAAGTTTCAAGATGTAGGAAAACTCACACTTATTTAAAAAATATTTTTTCTTTTAACAAATAGGAAATTTCTTTGGCATTTCTTACTTTTTGCTGTATCGAAAATGTACCGAACCGTGACTTTAAAACCGAGGTACGTACCGAACCGTGATTTTTGTGTACCGTTACACCCCTAATGCAATGTTTAATAGCCTGCCTTGCTGCTCTGCTAAGTTGGTTTGCGCTGTAGCTTCGTATATATATTTCTGTTTTGAATCATTATTTACTATCATTCCCTGTTGTTTATACTGCTAAATATAACTTACTCAACATGACATATTAACCTGACATCGCTAGCTTCAATCTAAATCGTTGCTGCTAGCACAACACGCTAGTAATTCGATAGCCTATTAGCGTGCCATCCGTGCGCTCTTTATTTATTTATTCATTTTCGCTCGCGCTTTTTACAAATCCATCAAAGCTGTGGTAAGTAGGATCAGTCAACAAACACGGTGAGTTATGTCATCTTCTCCGCTTATTGTCACTTGCACTTCATGTAACATGTATAGCACAGTCTTCTCTGTCAGCATAGGATTTACATGTGATAAATGCAGGTAGATAGTCAGGCTGACGGAGAAGATTTCAGAACTAGAGACACGCATCCAAACTTTAATTGAGGTTAATTGTAAGAGTGCAAGGGCTTTAGATACGGCTTTAGATACTGCTTTGGATCCAACTAGCTTAGTGAACTCTGTACATTGTTCGGTTCCGGCTGAAGTAGAACCCGTGCAGCAGGACAATTGGGTGACTGTGAGGCGCTGTAGTCGGGGGACAAAACACCGCTTTTCCGTTCCGATTACAACTTCAAATAGATTCTCCCCTCTTAGTGAAACACCCACTGTGAATCCTGTTGAATGTGCCCTAGTTATTGGCGATTCTATTACACAGAACGTGAAAATAGAGACACCAGCCACCATAGTCACATGTTTGCCGGGAGCCAGAGCGCCTGACATCAAAGCAAATTTAAAAGTTCTGGCTAATGCTAATCGTAAATTCTCTAAGATTATTATTCACGTCGGCACTAATGATGTTCGACTCCGCCAGTCGGAGATCACCAAAATTAATGTTAAAGAGGTGTGTGAACTCGCAAGTATGATGTCAGGCACTGTAATTTGCTCTGGCCCCCTTCCTGTTCGCAGGAGTGATGAGATAGTTAGTAGACTGTCCTCACTCAATGGCTGGCTGTCTAAGTGGTGTCCGCAAAATAATATAGAATTTATAGACAATTTTGAAATAGTTTTTGGGGCAGACCTGACCTGTTGAAAAGAGATGGTATTCATCCCTCCTGGGATGGTGCTGCTCTTCTCTCTAGTAATATGGCACATAGTCTTAGAGCTCAAACATGAATTGGGGCTCAGGTCAGGAAGCAGACAGACTGGCTAAACCGAACATTTGCTAGCTGTCTCATGTCACTGAGGTCAGATAAATCCCATCACATAGAGACTCTTTTACCTAGATATCATCATAGAGAGACTGTGTCTGTTCCCCGAATTAGGAAATACAAAAAATTTCCAAACCCATTTAAGGTTAAAAATGTAATTGATGTTCAACAAATAAAAAACAAATATAATACAAATGAGCAAATGATAAAGCTTGGGTTGCTGAATATTCGATCCCTTACTTCAAAAGCACTTATTGTTAATGATATGATTACAGACTATAACCCAGAAGTGCTGTGTTTGACAGAAACCTGGCTAAAACTAAACGATTACATTACTTTAAATGAGTCCACCCCACAAGATTACGGTTATAAACATGAACCTCGTCTGAAAGGCAAAGGGGGAGGTGTTGCTCTAATTTATAGTAATACTTTCAAAATTACTAAGAAGTCTAGTTTCAAGTTTCAACTACTAAGTAGTCTAGAAGTGTTGGTGCTTAATGTAACAATATATAGTGTAAATGATAAATCACGTTTGAGATTTGTGCTGGCTACTGTATACAGGCCACCAGGGCACCATACAGACTTTATCTAAGAATTTGCTGACTTTCTATCAGAGTTAGTACTGGCTGCAGATAAAGTCCTAATTGTTGGCGATTTTAATATACATGTAAATAATGATCCATCTGGATTGGCATTTAACCCTCTGGGGTCTGAGGTGTTTTTGGGGTCCTTGAGATGTTTTGACATGCCCTGACATTTGTGCTTTTTTCAGTTGCTTAGAAACATATTAATGGCACTGGTGAAATTACACTCTATTTAGCACAAACAGGGCTACCATAATATGTTAGCAGCATGTATGTACATGTTTGTATTTTTGAGAGAATATTGTTTATGCATGGTTATTGAAAAAACTAAAAATGAAAGTTTCTGAAATAAGGGCACAAAACACACACTAAATATGTGTCCACAAGACTTTTGACTAATGGATGTTGT